AAACAATGGCATTCACGCATCTTCTCTATTTCTTTGCAACATTAGTCTACTGAAATTCTACATTTTCTAATCGACTCTACTTTAAACTTTCTTTTCTTTTAGTCAGTAGAATAATGCAAGGCCCTGGCTAATGATGAATGAGGTTTGTGTGCAAAATCTTCGGTTGACAACAGGCTGTGCGCTCAAGATAATTGGATAGGGGAATGCCGGATAAGAAAATGTGTGAATTGCACACGATATGAAAGGTGTTAGTCAAGAAACCGGAGTTGTACAAGCAACGTAATCTGGTTCAAGCACTGCTCTTACCATGACAATAAGTGTTAGGACGGAGCCTAAGCAACCCGTCCGATCGCGCACGCCTCCGAGTCAGACCACACGCTCGCTACGATCCAGACAGGCTGAACCTGATTGGATGATCACAGAACGTGTCAACCAATGTTGGTCCAATCGATCAATCGATATGTCAAGGACACAATCTGATTGGTGCGTCACTGCGCCGTTCTCGTATGCACGAGTAATTCTATGTTTTGCGTATCGATATCTAAGGGAGGAATACACGCTGACTGTGGTCTCAACCTTAGTTCTCTCTCCGCGTTGTCATTGGGGCTTAATCAAGAGTCACTCGTGTGATGCGTACGCCTAGACCAAACACAACAATAAGAACACTTGCCCATATCTCTATGTGATAATTTCTGTTCCCTCCCTCCCCCATTTACTGTCTTTTTCGCACACTTTCAAACCTGTTTTATTCACTCTTCACCAACACCTTTCACATCGTGTCCAATTCACACATTTTCTTATCCGGCTTTCCCCCATCCAATTATCTTGACCCGACAGCTTGTTGTCAACCAAACATTTTTGCTCACAGACATTCATTCATCATCAGCCAAGGCCTTGCATTATACTACTGACTAATCGAACTATATATGTAAATGCCTGAAGCGATATATCGAAAAGAAATTTTTTTCTTTGTCCTACTGTTCATCCAAATGTGCGGCCAAAAGGCAACAAGCAAAACCGGCGCATGAGACTGCGTGGTCAGTGGTTGTTCAAACAGAACAGAACTGAACTGAAGATTTGAAAGCTAGAACCATCATTTGGGAGATCAGATTTATGCTATCTGGTAGATTCCCTACAACTGTATGAAGGCTGGCTCACTGATGTCGAACAACCAGTGCGATCGCGAAACGCTACATTGTTTGAGGAAAACCCTAGTCAGCGATGGAAAGATTTGTAATGACCGACAAAGAGCACGGACAGCTGTTTCGTCCTGTTTGTGACTCGTCACAGCTAATAAACGTCACTCAAATGCATTTAACTAGTGGGAAATTAACTATCCCTCAAAGAGTGAGACTCACACCCACCACACCACCAACAGTGCCTGGAACAATCGAATGGATCATTTCAAATTTGCCACGCTTGAAAACCACAGTCCGTGCTCAGACACCACTGTGTACATAACTCAAACTCAATTTATCACCACCCCAAAGACGAAAGAAACGGTCCAATGCATTTTTATACGATTATACAGGGACTGACCTGAACACCGGTCAAAATGAACCCGGTGCTTCGTTGCCATTTGTACTTTGAGTCTTCGAACACTTTCTTTTCCATGCTCTCATGCACACGAAAGCTGACCGTGCCCAATTTCACATCGCAAACATTTGGTCGTTTGAAGGTGGTCAACAAATCAGATAAGGCCAGATAGGCAGCTGTGAGTGCAAACGGAGTTAGGGAGAATGAAAAGATTGAGTTTTTGTGAATCCAATCGTCAAAGACAGGCTCATTTTTGTAATTCAGATATAACAGTTTGATTGTTGCAAAAACTGAAGTTTACAGAATATTGATAAATCGACTTTGTATCAGCGGCTAAACAAACTTTCGCGAGGTGACTTTTTATAACAGGTCAACAACTGGAATTCACTGTCGCTAGCGTTTGATAAAACGATACAGACAGTTCGAATCNGAATCCCCTTCCCCCCCCCCTCTCTCTCTCTCAGGGCACAGATACAACTAGTGCTTTGGTACTAGTCTGTCAGTGTTCAAATAGTTGGATGAAACTCTCGTCGGGGTGCTTCACCGGTCGAGGATGCATCACATTCTCTATCAATTTGAGCTGACTTTCCTTCACGCACAATCCTTAGCTCATTGATTCAACCATACGCTCGGGGAAGCACTAGACTCGAGTTTCGCTCTTATTGGAGCTCATCAGTAGTGCATATCCACCGTCCCGTCTGGGATTTGAACTCCGGAGCCATCGCATGGAATGCGTGTGCGTTACCACTGTGCCAACCAGTTCATGCCGTGGCTGAACCAAATTGCCAATTCATGCTTGTTCAGGTGTCGTCTTTAGTGATAGTCAGTTCATTTTGGCCCGACAGCAACGAAGGGAGACAGAGGTGACATACTGTTAACTCCAATCGAAAGCCTCCCACCAAGTCAGGACTTCCTCGCAGGTATGGACTGATTCGCCAACGAATCTACAAGGCTGGATCGATATTTCAAGTTTGACTCACATTCTCTATCGTCCAATGGAGCCGGTGACCAATACGATAAGGATGTGCTGGAACCAATTCGTAGCCTTTTTACAGAGGAGGAGGTGAGTTGATGTCAGGATCTCCCAAACCCTCCTGGATGAACCAGTTACCAGTGGATCATCGACGCAATTGTAGTTCCGAACATTGTCTTTGGGCTCTCTCCTTTAAACGGAAACACCCTCACCAGGAGAAGGACTTCCACAGTAGATACTTTAGCAGATGCACTCTATGAAATAATTTCATGGGAATAGAATGAGGTCTCGTGCTCTCGAAGAAACTGGGGCATTGATCGAACCTGGCTGTCAAGGACCTTGTCAGAACCCGGTACTCACTTTCGCCTTGTCAATTTGTTTTCAAACGTTTCATCACCAGCCGAAGTAACGTCTTCAATGCTCGAAGGTATGATTGCAAACCGTAACCGTAGAAAAGATTGAAATTCGTCTACCGTGTTCTATAAATGATTAGATAGGAAATCGTAAGCAATTCAAAACAAGCTAACTTGACCTACCCAGCAATGAAGTATTTACGAAAGTTTCTAAGGTCAACAATTATTCTGCAGTTACCATAGAATCAAACATAACATATACATTAGGAAGAACTAGTTTGTTGCAGCGAAGTGAACATCTGAGTTCGGGGCACTCACAAGTGTAACTGGGATCTACGTTTCAAGTATTTGAGGTTTATCGATCTGATAGAAATTATTTTATGTAACAATACATGGGTGACAGGTATTTACGACGAGTGGGCTGTAACGGCACAGAACTCGTAGGACCCTAGCCAGCTGATCTGTGTGAACCGATAATCATACCGATTTACAAGAGAGGCAACAGGTCCTCTTGTGAAAATCAGAGGAATTAGTTCCATCCACACCGTCTCTAAACTAATCGCTGGTATCATACTCACTCCATTGTCTGCCGCACGTGAAGAGTGCAAGCGTGAGAATCAGGCCGGTTTTAGACATGTTCGAGATTATGTCGACCACATCTTCACTCTTCGCAAAATTCTGGTGCATCGACATTCTTCTC